GTTTCATCCTTATGTTTTAATAAGTACACATAGGTATATCTTGAACAATCATCAATAAAAGTAATAAAATATCTATTACCGCCTCTAGTTAACATTCTATTCAATTCACATATGTCGAAATGAACAAGTTCAAGTAATCTTGTTGTTCTTACTACGCTATGAAATGGCTTCTTAATCATTTTTTATTTAACACATGTTTCATATTTTTCCAAGTTGTCAATTTCACATTGTATTAATCCACATTTAATCATTCTTTTCATAATATTAATTCCTATATGTGCTAATCTACCATATCATAAATTAAATGAATCAGTAACATACGCAAAATATTTAATTTTATTTGAGTTATCCTCAATAGTACATAGTTTGACCATTCCTTCGGTGGAATAGCCCTTTCCAACAAAGTGCATATTATGGGTTAATATAAGCTTTCCAGATTCAAAAACAGATTTAATTCCAAGTTTTCCCAATAGTACACCACTTGCTAAGTTTCTATTCATTTTCGGTACATGCAAGACATTTGTCAAAGTGATCTTCTTTCCTGAAGAGAAAATGAGTTCCACATTTCCTTTGCCAATCACTTTTGATCTTCCTTCATTTCCCATTTGTATCTCTTGATTGTCTTCAATGTCAGTTTTGAAGAGAGACTTATCATAACATCTATTAATTGTAGTGCATGTATCGTACCACCAGTCCGGAACTTTGCCTTGGATTGCATTGATTTCGCTCACCGTGGCGATAATCTCATCAACGGAGTTCACTTGTCCTTCTTTCTTTTGTTGTTTCCTATGTCTACAATCATTGGCATAGTGTCTCGATTTTCCACAAACATAGCAAGGTCCTTTGGCTTTATTTTTGAACTTTCCTTGATCCTTTCTAGAACTAAGAAATTTTCCTTCCTTTTTAAATTTGTTGGAGTTGTCCACATTGTCCACGACATTAGCCTTTGAAGGGCCTTCATAAGAATTTTCAAACTTATCTCTTGCCCTTGATTCTTCCTCAATACGAAGATATTTTTGTATATCTTCCAAAGAAAAGTCTTGGAAATTGTGAAAAATCTTCTTCATATATCCTTTCCAAGAACCAGGAAGTTTAGCAATAATTGCTCCCACTTGGAAAGTTTCGGGAAGTTCGATTTTCACCGCTTTCAATTAGTTTACAATTATTTGTAACTCATGTACTTGAGGCAATAATGGTATATTATCCAAAAATTTGAAATCAAAATACTTCGATATTAAGAACTTTTTAGTACCTTCCTCCTCGACTTTGTATTTGCTTTCTAACGCGTACCAACTTTCTTTTGCTGATGTAGTGTTGTTGTAGAGATCATAGAGGCAATCGGATAATGCATTTAGGATATGGCCACAACATATCAATTCGTCATCTTCCCGTTTCTTCCTTTCTACGCGAATTTCTTTGGTATCCTTGTCAGTTGTATCGAGAATGAGCTCCAATTTTGGATCAAGCACATAGAAGATCTTCAAGGCCGTTAATAGAAATTTAAGTTTGTCTTGCTATATTGTAAAACTTGCACCATCGAATCTGTCCAAGCGTACCAGGTCTTGATTCATTATTTTGATAATAGCAAGTGTAGATTCCGTC